ACAATAGGTCATTCTTGCTGTAAATTATCTACCACAAGCAAGAAATGTAAATTAAAAAAAAAAAACCAGCATGGGTGGAAATTTTGGAAACTTTTTTTTACAGAAACTCTTTCAAACAGTGAAAAATTACTAGATTCTGGTTACTTTATTGTACCTTGAAGGATTCTATTTTTATTAAAAACTGTCAATGAATTTAAAAAATCAAGTTTAGAATGCAAATGGGTACACAGACTGGCATTTATCACATATTCTTAGAAACCATAAAGAGAATGAAAAAAGCACACCTGCAAAGTGTTAAGGATTCAAAATTGAAATCCGATTTGAAAAGTATTATGTATGTAACTATTGGTGCTGTGGAATAGAGACGATATTTAGAGGATAAAATATAAAACCAAATAATTAACACTATCACAGATGCACTGAATGAAATCATTTGACTCATTTGAAAAGGGTAAGATATGCTAAATATTGCTCACTTATTTTAGTTACAACCTCCATAGACCCCATGTAGAAGAGATAAAAATTATTGCCTGATTTGTGGATTTCTAAATCCAGTATTTCTATATATGAACATAGATTTTGCTCAGCAAATGACACAACTAGAGAATGATCAGATCTACATATTTAGTAGAGTACTATGAACAGAACAGAAACCAAAATAATGTGAGAGAAAGAAATCTTTGTGATTTGGGATGAGGCTCTCCTCCTCTTACGACATCTTGATAGCATATTGGCCACCATCTTGTTCAGTTACTTCTCTGCAAAAGCAAAAGCAATAAAAGGTTCACTGAAGAATGAATTCACAGTAAATGCCAAAAAAAACTTCTGAAAGTAGCGTAAAAATTGTGACAGTGAAAAAAAAATAATGTAACCTGACTAAAGTTTGAAATGCTACAGTTTTGAGGTGAAAATCTTATGGCAAATTGAAAATGATCTCTCCTCAATAAAAAAAAAAGCATCTTCTTGTTCACAGGTTGATATCTGGAAAATTTAAATCTGGTTCAAATAATAACAATAATAGTAATATTATTAATATATTATCATTAAGAATAATAGTTTGAAAGTCAGAGATATGACAATGCCACAATTTTGTACATGAAAAACATAATGGATTTGGACAAGAAGATTCTAAAGAAGTAATTCTATGAATTCCATATCCCATGTTGTACATTCTTTAAACTTAATGGTGAAAAATATAGCAAAAACAATTTTTTGACACTATTGAAAATTTTATATTGTCCAAGAACTCTACATCTATCTTTTAGTTCATTGAAACACGGAAGGGCATTGAAACATTTATTTAATTTTGAAATCATTATAAAATATATGATGTGAAAGTCCAGTTGAGGTTGCCTTGCCACTAATACTCAAGTAGAGGCAGTAAGCAATGCTCTTTCATAAATTATTGATATTTTTAAAGATAAATTATCTAGATAAAGGGTAGGATGCTGGCCAAAGGTATACTTTTGAAAACGCCTATGTTTAAATGTATTTCCTCAGTACTAATTTGGCATGACTCTTTTGGTGTGGACATTTTATATTTTAAACCATTTTTACTGAAAAATATATTTTTCAGTATACATATATATATTTCAGTATGTATATAAACTACATAAAAGGAGTATAAAACCTAATGAAGTTTTATTAGGCAAACATTCTTGTATCCACCACCTAGGTCAAGAAATAAAACTACACCCTCCATTCCCATCATTCTTTGAGCTCTTCTTTATTTTGTGGCGCCTCAAGACATTCCAGGCTCATCTTGCACTTTCTTTTCCCCAGCCCTGGAATTCCTCCAAAGAGCTCTGGTTCATTTGACTGGAAAAAATGGCATTTATAAACTGAGATCTGGGCAACGGTTGTGCTCATCGCTATTGGGGTATCATTGCTTCTATGCTTTCTCAAATAAGTTAATTTTTTAAAAAAAGTTTGAGAGTACTGAAAGAATATAGTGGTCTTTGCAGAGTTTGAGAGACATGTATTCGAAGAATTTTGATGATAACCATAACTATGTAAAAATTTACAATAGAAACTAACTGATGAATAATATTAAATGGGATATCAATGTATGAGGAACTAATATTAATCCCTCCCTAAATTTTAGTACAGCTCCTCACCCCACTGAAGTTTTGCCTATATTTGTGGTAGTAGTTACCAGCCCGTTTCCAAATTCTTTTTAGCCGTTCAGAGCTTTGTGAATATTGGTTGATAGTGGGGAATGTAGAGTCTCAAAATTAAAATGTGTTCAATGTCACAACTGAAAGCCTGTTTAGGGGTCATTTCTACAGAAAACAAGGCATTGGAGCAAATAAGCATTGAAACCATCATGAAGATGTCATTTTATGCAATGAAGATGTGAACTTATTTTTATTACAAATTATTAAATTCTAATAACTTTGGAATGTGATAGTGAGTTCTTTATTGTGATTAAACTTTGAATTTTCTATTATTTTATATTAAAATTTGATTTATATAACAAACAAAATGATTTCTATTGAGTTCTATTTTATTCTTTGAATAGTTTGTTTTTTTTTTTTGAATAGTTTCTGTTCTTATTCATGGATGCATTGAATCTGTATCTTTCTAAAAATATTAATAATGATTTTTTGAAGATTTCTTTTGTTCTCTGCATTGGTTTATTAGTTTTAACTTCCAACTTTTAAGTTAAAGGATTTCCTCAAATGTTTTGTGGTCTTTGGTTATTCTTTCATATTTCAGGCTGATTAGAAAAAATAAGTGCATGGAAGGGCTTATTAACTGTAGGTTTCACTGAAGAACCAAGGGGAGATTAGTGACCTGCCATTTCTCTGGTAGCTAGCTAAATGCCGTTATGTATATCCATGTCTTTCTCTTGGGAGTCAGTTTCCCTAGAGATGAATCTTCCAGTTTTTTGCCTGAGATGTACCTATACCTGGCTACTTCAGCTTTAGGATAAAAATGAGTTAGAGCTGAGGGGCTCATTGTTCTGTATATATACTTTAAAATATTGAAGATAATTTTAAAAAGTTTGTGGTAAAATACACATAAAATTTACTATATAAACCATTTTTAAGTGTATAGTTCAATGGCAGTAAGTACATTCACATTGTTGTGAAACTAACCTCCAGAACTCTTTTCATCTTACAAAACTGAAACTCTATACCCATTAAACAATAACTTCCCATTTCCCCCTTTCTCCAGCTCCTGGCAACCACCATTCTGCTTTCCTCTCTATGATTTTGACTACCCTAAGTATCTCCTACAAGTGGCATCAGACACTGTCTTTTTGTGATGGCCTTATTTCACTTAGCATAATGTCCTCAAGGTTCATCCATGTTATAGCATTGTCAGAATTTCCTTCCTTTTGAAGGCTGAATGATATTCCATTGTATACATCACATTTTGTTTATCCATCATTTGTGGATAGACACTTGGGTTGCTTCCACCTTTTGGCTATTGGGAATAATGCTGCCATGAGCATAGATGTGCAAATATCTCTTCCAGGCCCTGCTTTCAATTCTTTTGTGTATATATCCAGAAATAGAATTGCTGGATCATATAGTAGTTCTATTTTTAATTTTTTTTTTAATTTTATTTATTTATTTCCCCCCAAAGCCCCAGCAGATAGTTGTAGGTCACAGCTGCACATCCTTCCAGGTGCTGTATGCCGGTCGCGGCCTCAGCATGGCCAGAGAAGCGGTGCTTTGGCGTGCGCCCCAGGATCAAACCCGGGCTGCCAGCAGCGGAGCGCGCGCACCCAACCGCCAAGCCACGGGGGCGGGCCCTCTATTTTTTTTTTTTTTAAAGATTTTATTTATTCAGTTTTTCCCCCCAAAGCCCCAGTAGATAGTTGTATGTCATAGGTTCACATCCTTCTAGTTGCTGTATGTGGGACTCGGCCTCACGTTGGACGGAGAAGTGGTGCCTCGGGGTGCGCCCGGGATCCGAACCCGGGCCGCCAGCATCAGAGCGCGCGCACTTAACCGCCAAGCCACGGAGCCGGCCCTGGGCCCTCTATTTTTAATTTTTTGTGGATATGTATATATATATATCCACACACACATGAAAATATATATATATACTTTTACATAACCTCCTCTTATTGAGCTTTACTTTCCACCACATCTAGTAATCCTGAGTGTGGAGATTCTCCAGTTCACCTCCCCACCTCTCCAACCCCGATTAGGGGATGGGCATGTGATTTGGGGTAGTCATCTGGCTATGTGGGGTTGGAAACTGAATTTGAGGGCCTGCCCAAACACTCTGCACATCACTTTGAACCTAATCTCTCTGTTTTCCTTGCCGCAACTCTGCCCTTACCCCCAGCCAGTGTATACCTGTGGACGCTCTAGGTAAATGTGCCCCAAAACCAATTCACTGAAAGCCAATTCACTTATAAATGGCCATCTTGCAAAAACCTTTAATTCTTTATTTTTAGTTATCATTTCGTCTTCATAATAGCATTTTAAGGCAATTCAATTTGACTCTGCTCCAGTTCCCTGCTGCTGCAGCTAGAGTCTGTGGGGCCAGAAGAAAGCGCAAACCCGGCGGGACAGAAGAATATAGAATATTCATTTTTATTCCTAGGGAGATAACCCTGTAGTGGATGGAAATAAATTAACTAGCTGTTTGATTTTTGGGCAAATCTTTCGACTCCTTGGACCGAAATATGCAAAACGAGGATCGCAATTATAATTCAGACTGTGGGTGGGTGCGCGAGTGTGCGTGTGCGCGCCCGCACGCGCAACCTAGCGCATGCTTTGCCAAGGTAAACCCAGGGTAAGAGCGTTAACAACCATTAAATGTTAAGTAGTACGACGTCACCATAGTAACAGCAACCAGCACGCATGCGTCCAGTTAAAGAGCCTGCGTGCTCTACCGGCACTCAGCCCGCCCTCTTCCTCAGATCGCTCCGCCTCCGTTCCCCCGAGACTGTTCCGCGACGCCCTGCGGCATCCAAGTGGCCAATCACCGCCCACGTTTTTCTTCCCGTCAATGGCGCGTGCCCCGGTTTCAAAAGCTTGGGGGCGGGCTCCTGGTTTCACGCACGCGCCGTTGGCTTCTTTCCCCACGCTGGTTCCGCGTCCCCTCAGCGCCGTATCTCCGCCTGGCCGCGGGTGTCTCGTGTGTGGGGGCGAGCTGGGCTGTCGCCGCCATGGGTAAAACTGCCGACTCTCCGAGTCCGGGAGCCCGCCCCGACCCGGTGCGGAGCTTCAATCGCTGGAAGAAGAAACACAGCCACAAACAGAGCCAAAAGAAGCAGTTGAGGAAGCAGCTGAAGAAACCCGAGTGGGAGGTCGAGCGCGAGGTTATCAGCCGCCTCACGCAGAACTACGAGAAGGTGAGGCGGACGCTGAGGAGGGGGCGCGGGCAGCCGCCGATGCGCGGGGCGTGGACCGGCAGCGGGGCTGCGGGTCTCTGAGGTGATGGGCTGCAGAGGAGAGCGGGCCGACCTGTCACTGGGGAACATGCCGTTAGTCCACTGGGCTGGAGAAGGGGGTGGGTGTTGAGGCCCCCCAGGTGGTCTTCAGGGTGCCACAAACCAGGCTTCTAGACCGTCCTGGCCACTCTTCTGCTCACCACATGTTCTTGACAAAATGATGGAAATACGGTGGTACTTAAGGGTAGGGAGAGTAATGCTGTAGTTTTCATAATAATATTAACGAAAGTAATGGTAATAACGACACCTGCGTTTTTAAGCCGCTCACCATGAGCTTTACGTTAATTATTTGACTTGATCTGAGGTGTGGGTCTTTTTCCGGTTTTACAGATGAGAACATTGAGGCTCTGAGAGGAACAGAAACTTGTCCTAAGCTTTCACACTTCGTAGGTAGTGTGGAATTGGCCCCTAGACCAAGGTCTTTCTGATTCCAGAGCCTTTGATTTATTTTTTGCTGAGGAAGATTAGCCCTGAGCTAACATCTCTGGCTAGTCTTCCTCTATTTTGTATGTGAGCCGCCACCACAGCATGGCCACTGAGGAGTAGTGTAGGTTGGCGCCTGGGAACCAGACCAGGTGGACTGTGGAAGTGGAGCCTGCTGAACTTAAGCAGGGCTGGCCCCAGAGCCTTTGCTTTTAACCATTGTGCTAGACTTGGATCCCTCAGCGTCATCCATCCTCCTCCGTCTGCCCATCTCATTTTCTCTACTTGCTTCCTGTCTCCATCCAGGAACTGGCATAGAAAAGCTGGACTCCTGGTCTATTTCTGGTACCTACCAGCCCCACATTGTAGCTGGTGTTCTCAGATAAGTCTCCCTGTTGACCTCTCCCCCCCTCAGGCTCCTTGGGGCGGTCAGTACCCCTATTTCTCCTTCCCCCTAAATTCCATATCTGTTGGCCTTCACCCACCCCCCTCAGCCTCTCAGTGATTGCCCCCTTCTAGTGGAGATAATCAGGGATTTAACATGTGGGACATTTCTGTATTAAAGTCATCATGTGTCATGCTGGTATAGCTTTCCTTTAAACGACCCTTAGATCAACCTTAAGGTTAGATAGAGCTTACAGTTTGTTTTGGGCTTTTGAGTTAAGATGACGATGATTTGATCTTGGCTGTTGCTCATCAGATGAATGACTTTGGGCAAGTTGCTTATTCTGTCTGCTTCACTTTTGTTGTCTTTAAAATGCATCGTGTCTACCATATAAGTTGTGGTGAGTTAGAATGCATGTAAAGCATTCTGCACAATCCCTGACACATGTAAATATTCCATATGTTAGTTGTATAATTAGTACTACTGCTGTATACACAGCACCTCAAGAAGCCAATGTAAAGTAAATTACCATTAGATTGCATTTTGGACTCTTCATCTGACTAGAATTGCTTAGGGGGTATGGCCTCCGCCTGTGCTTCTTCTCACTCTCCTCTTCTCTTGTGTAATCCCAAGGTTCATTCCTGTGGACCAATGACTCCTTCTTTTTGTATTCTATCCAGAGTTCTTCTGAGTTCCTATCCTTTTTATCTGACTGTGCTGGATGTCTTTACCTGATTGTGTCATAGGATACCTTAAATGACACAACTCCAAAACCGAGCTCATTGTCTTTTCCCTCATACCTCAGCAACCTCTCCTAAATTCACGATCCTGTGTGTTAGTTCCCTATTGCCACTGTAGCAAATTACCACAAACTTGGTGGCTTAAAACAACAGAAATTTATTCTCTCACAGTTCTGGAAGACAGAAGTCTGAAGTCAGTTTCGCTGGGCTCAAATCAAGGTGTCAGCTGGGCGATGCTCCCTCTAAAGGCTCTCTGGGAAAATCATTTCTTGCCTCTTTTGGCTTCTGGTGGCTCTTTGCATTCCTTGGCTTGTGGCTGCATTACTCCAATCTCTGCTTCCATGGACTCATTGCCTTCTCCTGTTCTGTATCAGATCTGCCTCTGCCCTTCTTTTATAAAGATACTTCTGATTGCATTTAAGGCCCACCCAGAACATCTCCCCATCTCAAGATCTTTAATTATACCTGCAAAGTCACTTTTGCCATTAAGGTAACATTCACAGGTTCCAGGGGTTAGGACATGGACGTATTTGGGGACCATTATTTAACCTACCACATACTAGCCCCGCCATCTAAGCAGACTGCTGAGCTAGAAACCTAGGAATAATCCCAGAGACTTCCCTCTTACCCACTATTACATCCAGTCATTCACACTGGTGATCTATTCTGCTTCTTGAATTTCTCAAATGCTTCTCTATCCCCACTGCTATGCTTTGGTTTAGTCCCCATCATCTCTCACCTAGATTACTATAATAGCTATTGCTTACAACAGGAGTCAGCAAACTTTTTCTGTCAAGGACCAGATAGTAAATGGTTTCAGCTTTGCAGGTCACAAGGGTGGCACTACTCAACTCTGCTGTTATAACACAAAAACTGCTGTGGAAATACTGAAATAAATGGTGTAGTTGTGTTCTAGCAAAACTTAAATGATTAAAACAGGTGGCTCATGGGATTTGGCCCTTAGGCCTTGTCCCCCATTAATCTGTCCTCTATATTGCTGCTAGAATGGAACGTTTCTTTCCAAGATGAAAATCCAATCATTTTACTCCTGATTAGAACCTTTCTTTGGCTCACAGTTACTTTCAGGAAACTGGTCAAACACTTGAACATGTCAACACGTTCTAGTCTAGGGGAAGAGTGAGTTATTTGTGGTCAGACAGACCTGGTTTAAATATCACTCAGTTCGGGTATTGACTGGCTAAGTTTCTTAACTTTCCTGTGTCTCACTTTCTTCAACAGAGATTATTAACCACCCAGAGTGTTGTGAGGCTCAAATGAAGTAACGTATGTAAACCAGGCAGTATCCGATAGGCATACATGAAAGGACAACTTGCAGTTTGTGAATTGGCCGTGCTCCTGGATGCTTCTCATCCTGGTTCTGATGTTTCCACTGCTTTCAGTGACCATCCCCACCCTAGGGACACCTACTCTTCCTTCAAGATTTGCTTCCAACTTCTCTTCCTTACTTTCCCAGGTAGAGTTAGGGGCACTGTGCGTCTCAAGGATTTTGTATACGCCTTTACTGTAGCATTTATCATGAGGCTGTGATGATTGGCTTGTTTAACTTTAAATCTCCCACTAGACCCTGAACTTCTGAAGGTCAGAGACTGTTGGATACACTCACCTTTGCTTTCCCCAGAGACCGGTAGCACAGTGCTTGTTGCTGAGTAGAGCTCAGTCAGTGTTTAGGTGTTGTTTGGTACAGGACGACCTTATCTGCATGGTTTTATTGTGGTTGGTAACATTAGTCTGTTCTTTTTGGTCTCTTGTTTTAATAATAATTGCTAACATTTATCAAGCTTTTATACATGTTGACTTGCCATATCCTCACAACAAACAGCCCTATGAGATTGTTCCCATTATACAAATGAGGAAACTTTAAGGTACAGCAAGGTTAAATAATTTGTGCAAAGTTAAATAGCTAGTAAGTGAAAACATTCTAACCAGGTAGTCTAGGTCTGATGCCAGTGCTCCAAACCACTACACTTGATTGCATTTCAGTGCACAAATATTTAAATCCCAATCTTTTCACCAGGTTGAAGGAGCAGCTTTTTTCCTCTAAGTATTGTTCTGTTTTATTTTTTTTAATCTTAGAAATATTTTTAAAGATTTTTGTCAAGAAATAAATGCAGTGTGAAATCAATTGCTGGGACTAGCAATACTAGAATACAATCATAGCAGATTTGTTATTCTCTAGGTAACTAAGGGGCAGACCCTCACCATATGGCTCCTCGGATGGTAGCATTTGTGCATAACAGTTTTATTACAGCGCAGCAGTACACAGGTGGTGCTCAGTAGCCTCAGTGGTGAAATACTGAACAATTTAATTGAGAAACATTTTGAAAAAATTTGACCGATACTTGTTGAGGCCTACACAAAAATAGATGGAAAAAAATACATATCTGTGTCCCTAGGGAGCTGTGATGGAGGTGGGGTAGAGTTGATATACTTTTGACAAATGTTATAATAGTAAATATGTAGAGTGCTGTGGAGTTAGAGGATGGTGTAATTAGGGGAAAAAAGGTTGGGTTATCTCGTGCAGCTCCCTTTATGGCCAGGTGAATTAGACAAATGTGTTTCCTCTGGCACGCTACCCTTTCTCCTGGTGGTTGCAGTCTCAGGCCTGGCATGTGGGCTAGATCTCCGCCCACACATCTCAGGTTTACCAGATGCCTTTGTGGACTGCACAAACTGTCCAGCGGTTTGTGGTAGCCGTGAGCGGAGCTAGTTCTTGAATGATGGGTTCTCCAGATAGAAAAGATTGGCCAGGGTATTGTAGGCGGAAGGAGCAATATGAGGAAATACAAAAAGATATAAAAATACTTGGTGTTCTTTGAGGGGGGAAATACTTGAAGTGTGGTATGTGTTCCTGAATTGGCTTCAGATGAGGCTGGACAAGAGGGTTGGAGGTGGATTGTGAATGGCTTCAGAGGCTGTAGTAGGTAGAATAATTGCCTCCTAAAAATGTCTGCGTCCTAATCCCCAGAACCTGTGAATAAATGACATGGGAGGGGGTAAATAAGGTTGCTAATCAGCTGACCTTAAAATAGGGCGATTGATCTGGATTATCCAGGTGGGCCCAGTGTAATCACCAGAGGTCTTTAAATGTGGAGGAGGGAGGCAGAAGAGTCAGTGTCAGGGTGCTGTGAAGTGAGAGACACTTGACTGCCCTTGCTGGCTAGATTTGAAGATGGAAGGGGGCCATAAGCCAAGAAATGTAGGCAGCCTCTAGAAGCTGGAAAAAGCAAGGAAATAGATTCTCTTCTAGAGTCATTAGAAAGAATGCAGCCCTGCCAACACCTTGATTTTAGTTGAGTGAAGCCCATTTTGGACTTCTGACTTCCAGAACTGTAAATTAATAAACTTATGTTGGTTTAAGCCACTGTTTGTCATGATTTGTTTCAGCAACAGTAGGAAGCTTATACAGAGGCCATGTTCAGAGACTTTTATCTGGAAGCAGTGGGGAGTCTCTGGGGGCAGTTAGAGAACACAACCAAGCTGTAAAGGGTTTGGAGGCTAAAAGACCAGATAGGAGACTAGTGATATAGTCTAGGTCCTGGGTCCGCTGAGAGGCTGATGCCAAGATGGGATTAAGTGAGTTGGAGATTTATTGGGGGAAAATGTGAAGGTGAAGGAGAGGGAATAGGAGTAGGGAAAAGGGAGAGAGGACGAAAGGAGGATTGGGTAGGAAGAGTCTTCAGGCTGCTTTGGCTGATGGGGTGTCCTCCAGCCAAAGTTGCCCATTAGAGGAATCCTCTGTCCTGCTCAGTCATTGGGAGCAGGCCAGGGAAGCATGTCTTTTCCAGTCGTGGATCTGGAAGAGTGACTGCTGGCATCCTCAGTCAACTGTGCTCCCCACAATGAGAGATCTGGGTGGCTTATTTCTAAGCCCCATAAGGGGGTGTGTGTTGGAGGGGCTGAGGGGGACTCGGGGATTGAAGCTTATTGAGCTATTTGTTTTAGTTCAGCAGTTGTTTTCACTGTTGCTCAATGACTCAAGCTCCCTGCGCCTGGGATTCATTTAGACTTTATTATTATCAGCTGTGCCGTATAGGAAGTCTGCATTCTAATCTGGATTTTTTTTCCCGCTTAATCAGAATTTGGTCTGGTGTGATTTGAAGCAGATTGCTTTTCTTTTCTTGGTTGCAATAGGTGGAGCATTCTAGGAAGTTTTTATACTTCTTTTCTCCTGCATTCAAGATGTAAAAGCTTTATTCACTTTTGTGAGAAACAAGTTGTAAGAAGAGAGTTGTAAGAAGTATAGGAGGGTAGTTAAGTGATATCCACCCTATTCATCCTCTGCCCCCTCCAACTTGTCCACTAGTGTTGGAAAGTCTTTAACAAGTATGGTCGCTGAAACATCTGTTCTTTACTTTCAGAAGAATGATACAGATTTTAGAGGGAGTGGGAAGATTGGGAAGCAGTAATGATTTTAAGAAAAGAAAGGAATGAAGGGAAGGGGAAAGAGTGTTATTTTGTTTATAGGAACCATAGCCATTTTCTGCTTTGGCTTCTAAGTGTTCTTTGGAATATAATTGAGAGTCTTCTAGAACAGAGTTGGCACACTTTTTCTGTAAAAGGCCAAATAGTCATTATTAGGCTTTGTGGACCATACGGTCTCTGTCACAACAGTAGACAATAGGTCAATAAATGGTTGTTTCTGTGTTCCAGTAAAATGTTACAAAAACAGGCAGCAAATTGGATTGGGCCATAGTTTGCTGACCTCTGTTCTAGATCATCAGTGGAATAAAAATTTCCTTCTGTTTCCTTGGTGACTTCTTTCTAAGAATGTGTTGTATATCTTTACATTGTAATGTCTGATGGAGTGCTGGAACAGTTTCATTCTTGCAAACATTCTCTCTAGGAAGTTAACAGACTTTAGAAAGATGTGCAGTATTTCATCTGAGTAGCCTGCTTTACCTGTGCTGTATCTCCGATGGGGATTGAAGAGTGTTGCCCATCTAGCTCCTTCTGTAAGCAATCCGTTCTCTGTGAAAACAGTTTTTTAGCTGATAATACTACAAGTGCAAGGGTGGATGGCACCGTTTTACTGTCCTGTTTGGGAGATTTACCTTCTAATTGAGATTCTTGAATGGGACAGGATATTTTTCTAATAAACTTTTCTCCTTCTAGTGCTAGTACACTGATTCTGCCTCCTCTACAGTGTTATCTGGAATGATTTGTAGGGATTAAGGCAATGTTTTAATATTTGTGTTTTCAGCATTTGAGGACTGGAGAATAACCCTGTCTGGGCTACATTAAGAATCTTGGGAAAGATGATGTGTAGACTGTAAAATGAAATACAAGCTGTCATCCGTTTACTGCCTGGAGTATAATTTAAATAAATGAACCTTACAAATGCAACCTTCTCCTTTTGTGAATCATGAATAATTTGGCAGCCTGTTCCCAGATCTAAACAGTAGTTCCTGCTTTCAGCATCTGTAATAAAATAATTCTCCTGAGCAGCCTAAATGCAGTTCACAAAATTGGGTTTATGCTAATGAAGAACATCAGTAATGAACACTCAGATAATGTAAAGTTAAAAGACAAAATGTTACTTATTGTCGCTTCAAAGTGTGACAGAGACACTTCCCCTGATTATTGTTAAATAACACCCCTCCTTCAGTGTATACCAAATGGGTAGTTGTCAGGTTGGATTTCACATACCACTGATTTGTCGTTAAAACTTTGAAAGGTTTGTGCTAACAAGATATATTTCTCCAGCTAACTTCGATCTGTTCTCCAAAGTGTGTAAATAGAACTATTCTCATCGAGGCCTGTGGTTTAGGGTCATTTGCCTCTTATTTCTTAAACTGATATTCCTTGAAGGATGAACTAAAATTTTCTTCCTAAAATTGGTGTGGTGGTGATTTACTGTGTTCTTTACATTTTAGAGGTGAAGCATGTTCACGGTAGTAGTACTAGCGTATGTGTGTTTTTTGAGTGAATGAAGTTTTTTTTTTTTACCAATTGAAATGGTTACAAATTTATATTTTTGATGCATGTTGGCTTCCTCAAGACATATTTCCTTTCAGAAGGAGTGATGGTTTTTAATCAGAAGTGGTGATTGAATTCAATCCTGCTGTACCAAGGATGAGCTAGGCAAGCACAATGTAGACAAAAAATGGTTTTGTTGTAAAACGAATTACACAGTACATTATTTTGTCATAGCTGACAGTCTCCTTTTTCTTTTTTTCAGATAAATGTAAATGAAATTACAAGATTTTCAGATTTCCCCTTGTCCAAAAAAACATTGAAAGGTAGGTATATAATGATCTTGGGACATGTTGGATTTCTTGATGTTTTTTTAAATAGAAAAGGCTTTAGAGAGTTTAACCTGAAAAATATTATTTTGGCAAATAATTTTGCTATCATGAAAACCTATAACAAGAAACAATATTAATTCGAGTTTTACCAATTTGTCGTTCTGTCTTTTCCTGGAGTGATTAAAGAACAGTAGTAAAAACAAGATACCAGGGCCGCTGAATAATTAAAATGAAGTCTAATTATGTCAGCTGAAATAAGCAAGAGAACAAACAAAAGTGTGACATCTTTTATATTAGTTTACTAGTGCCACCAGAACAAAATAGCACAGACTAGGTGGCTTAAACAACAGAAATTTATTTTCTCACGGTTCTGGAGGCAAGATGTCCAAAGATCAAGATGCTGGCAGCATTGATTTTCTCTGAGGGCCGTAAGGGGAGGATCTGTTCCAGGCCTTTCTTCTTGGCTTTTAGTTGGACCCTGCCTCATCATCTGGTTGTCATTCTGTGTGCTCACACCCCTGGTGTCTCTGTGTGTCCAAATTTCCCCTTCTTATAAGGACACTGGTCAGATTGGATTAGAGCCCACTCTAACGGGCTCATCTTAACTTAATTACCTCTTTAAAGACCTTATCTCTGAATACAGTCACATTCTAAGATACCGGGGGTGAGGGCTTCAACGTAAGAATTTTTGGGGGGCGGTGGGGGTGGGGTAATTCAACCCATAATACCGTTCCACAGGGATTTTCTAAAGTGTCATTCTCTTCCCTTCCATACTGGCAGGTTTGCAAGAAGCCCAGTACCGTCTGGTAACTGAGATACAGAGGCAGACCATCGGGTTGGCTTTGCAAGGTAAAGACGTTCTTGGAGCTGCCAAAACTGGATCTGGCAAGACTTTGGCTTTTCTTGTTCCAGTAAGTAGTTTATTCCTATTGTGTCAGATCCTCTATTACATGATTTTAAAACATTCTGTGCCTAGATAGAAATAAATAAATATGTAAAGAGTTGTTTCATGTTGGATTTCCCTGGCTAGAGTGCAAGCTTTATCAGAAAGGTGCCAAATCTGTCATCTTCTCCACCGTGTTCCCCAGGTCCTTAGCGCAGTGCCTTACACGTGGCACTCCATAACTTATTGAATAAATGAGTTATTGTGCCTTGACAAGCCCTTACAGTCCTGAAGGATGGGGGACATTCCAGGGTGTCAGGTCGGAATGGTTCTGCTCTGCTGTAAGACCGGTGGGGAAAGCTGTTTGTGCTCTCACCCTTGCAAACCTCCCAGTTGCATTTATACTTCCACCTGTTACGATAAAGTTGAAATATGCTCACTTTAAGGAGATTGGGTCATTCGTTGAGAATCTTCTGGGACATTGATACCGGTTCTTTATGGCAGTAAAACAATAGACCCTCTTAGGCATTCACTTATATCTCAGTTATGCAGTTGGTCTCATTTTTAATTCCTACGAAATAATTGGGTCAGAAAACTCACATTTGAGTTTTTGTTCCAAGTATTGCAAAACCATTTTTCTCTTAAATCTTAATTTTTTATAATAATGTCTCTGTACAACTAGAAAACTTAGTCACTGTATAACTGTAGCAGTTACACAGATGAAAGTTTATTGTAATGTGGTCTCTGCTCAGAAAATGGTGACAGATGTTTTTCTGAAATCCGTTTTAATGGTCTGAGGGCTGCACATACCTTTTGCTAATCGCCAGTCTCCTGATGGCATGGCTCTGGCAGCAGCTGAGCTACCATGGGGCTTCTTTTCCCTTTCCTCTTGAATTGGGGGAGGATACTTCTCATGGATGGAAGAAAAAGGAAAAAGCGAACAATTTCTTCTGATTAGGTAAAACTCATGACTGGTATGCCTTCTGCTTGGAAGATGCTTTTGATTTGGAGGGTCAACGTTAAGACTCAGGGATGAAAAAGCTACCTTTTTTAAAGGACTTATTCAACATGAATTTGCTATCTCTTTTGAGGTACTGGAAGCCTTATATCGTCTGCAGTGGACCTCAACAGATGGGCTGGGGGTTCTGATAATATCACCTACGAGAGAATTGGCCTATCAGACCTTTGAGGTTCTCCGAAAAGTAGGAAAGAATCACGACTTTTCAGCTGGTCTCATCATTGGTGGAAAGGTTTGTCTTTTTGTCCTTGTCTGTCCTTCTTACCCTCTATAACTTATGGTGGAGCACTGTAGCAGTTGAGATGGAAGAGGTGGAGATTTCCTCTAAACGGATAGGCTGGTCCCCTAGACTGTGGATGGTAGCATCCTGGTGTGGTCACTGTCATCTAAAGTCTGGTCATCAGTTTTGCAGGTCCAGAAAGTCCATTATGTCAGGGTTTCTGAATTGATCAGTTTCTCTGAGATTAATCTACTCTAACCAACCTGTAAATCTATTTGTTAATATACATTGGGAAAGGTACCATTTCAATATGTGAACTAGTTACTTTTAATAAGGTATCTGAGAGTGTGAATAATTCAGAACATTGCTGGGTCAGCAGCAGAAGAAAGGAAGATAGTTTTGAGGAATGTTTATTTTAGGTCTTGGTAAAACCTGCTCAGCTTTTGCTGTACTTTATAGTACACCTAGAATGCTTAAATCTGCTAGCCTCTTCTAGGGTGAGGATAAATACTTGAATTCTTGAATTTATATGCAAACGTAGACAAAAAAAGTAGAGCATCACAAACCCTCACAAACGCATGTCACCCAGCTTTAACAACTACCATTCTTTGGTTCTTCTTTCATGGAGACAACTTCTAGAATGTAGAATGCTCAGCTCTTTTTTTTTTCAGTCCACAAAGTGCAATGAGTGTTGTCAGAGAGCCTGTTCAGTGCCCCCTGGGTCCTAACTTAAAGAATGGGAATAAGTCCAGTTTTTAAGTTGATTCTGGTTGACTTAGTAAGAAATCAAGATGCTTGGAGCATTCATATGATATTTTTCTTGGCTTCAAAATCCTGGGTATGATTAAGAATCTTAGTGAAAATACTTCGCTAAGGTATTTTATTTGGCTCAGAAATTTGGATGTGCTGCAGAAATAGAAGGGAGAAATGACATTTATTTCTAGAGTATCTGCTTTGTATAATGAAATGCCACATGCAGGTGGCTTTTGTAGTTTTGGTATACAGGCTGCTCAGTGATGTGTCTGTGTAATCAAAAGAAACAACTGTTTTCAGGATCTGAAACATGAAGCTGAGAGGATCAATAACATAAATATACTCGTTTGCACACCGGGTCGGCTTCTTCAACACATGGATGAAACAATATGTTTTCATGCTACCAATCTCCAAATGTTAGGTGAGTCTAGTGAATTTTTAATGAAAAAATCTCAGACTTAGGAGAGAGCCCTCATAAATTTTAATGATAGAAATGTTTTACTGGATAAATATTTTGATTAAAAACAATCTGAGAAATAACTTGAAATAATTTTTTGGCATATGCGTTCAAACCCAGAGAGACTTTTTTTAAAATCAAAATAGAAGAATATAAGTACTCTTTTTTATTTTTTTGTGAGGAAGATCAACCCTGTGCTAACATCTGCCAATCCTCCTCTTTTTTTTGCTGAGGAAGACTGGCCCTGGGCTAACATCCATGCCTCATCTTCCTCCACTTTATGTGGGACGCCGCCACAGCATGGCTTGCCAAGCGGTGCATGGGTGCGCGCCCGGGATCCAAGCCGGTGAACCCCGGGCCGCCGCAGCGGAACGCTAGCACTTAACCACTTGTGCCACCAGGCTGGCCCCCTAAGTACTCTTAACATGTGAAATTAGGCACTTCAGTATTTGACACTGAGTTTTACCTTTTAAGAAACATCCACTTCTGATATTACCTAATTTATATTTCTTAAATCAATTTTTTGTCTTGGAACAATTCTAGATTCATAGAAAAGTTGCAGTAATAGTAGAGTTCCTGTATACCCTTCCCCCAGTTTCCCCTAGTGTAGCATCTTACATAATTATGGTACCTTTGTCAAAACTAAGATTAACATTGGTGTATTATGTAAATTCCAGACTTTATTTGGATTTTACCAGTTTTTCCACTAATGTCCTTTTTCTGTTCTAGGATCCGGTCCAGGATTCCACATTGCATGTAGCCTAATGTATATTTTAAATATTGTAGTTCACTTTGCATTTTCCCTTTTTAGTTCTTGATGAAGCAGATAGAATCTTGGATATGGGCTTTGCTGATACCATGAATGCTGTTATTGAAAATCTTCCCAAGAAACGTCAGACTTTGCTTTTCTCAGCTACACAAACCAAATCTGTAAAGGACCTTGCACGCTTGAGTTTGAAAAACCCTGAGTATGTCTGGGTTCATGAAAAAGCAAAATACAGGTATGTACTATTTGGAACCATATTTGATTCAATCAAGAATTAGTGTTCTTGGGCCGGCCTGGTGGCAGAGTGGTTAAGTTCACACACTCCACTTCAGTGGCCTGGGGTTTGCAGGTTTGGATCCTGGGTGAGGACCGGTGCACTGCTTGTCAAGCCATGCTGTGGTGGCGTCCCATATAAAGTAGAGGAGGATGGGCACGGATGTTAGCCCAGGGCCAATCTTCCTCAGCAAAAAAGAGGAGGATTGGCAATGGATGTTAGCTCAGGGCTAATCTTCCTCTCTCACACACACATATACACACACACAAAAATTAGTGTTCTCTTTTTAGTTTAAGAATTTGATATTTTTAATTAATATTTTCTAGGAAATGTCATTTTATGTGTTACTAGATATGCAAAGCAAGTAAATATATTAGTAAAAATTATTTAAATTCTTGATGCACCTTTAAATGTGAGAATACTGGAATGCGGTGTTTTCCAAAATGTGGTCTTGGGAACAAATATTTTTCCATAAGATGTTAACAGGTATTTATTTACCACTATCTCCCCATAAAATGGAGATGGATGCATTCCAGGAGGATGCATTCCTGGATAGATAGTAGCAAGTGCTGAGTTCAAGTTTTCTTTAAGACTTTGCAGAGCCTTTAATATTTTCATGGACACTGATTTTTCCAAAGCAGTAGGAGATGAATATAGCTTTCTGCATTTACTAAAATTATTTGGGTACAGAATCATTCTTTTTAGCTGCGTTACGCAGGACTAGTGTGCTTTGGAACACATTTTATCAAATGAATTAATATTTAGCAAAATACCTTTCTGTTTAAAATATTCCAGCAACTGTTTTGTCCTGGTTTCACTGAAAACCAGAGAGTAAGATGTGTGTGTTTGTAACAGTAAAAAGTGCGTGTGTGTGTGAGAGATGTGTAAATAAGTTGGGCAATGTTTTAAAGTGTATTTTGATATGACAACTGGACGTGTCTGTATGTCTGGTATGAATCATTGCAGACTATGGACATAGTTGACTTCCAGAAATATTTTCCAGTGAATGTAAGTTGAATCTATGTTGAAGATCTCAATATGGATTCAATCCTTCCATTATTTCTATCTAAAAACTTGCATATCTTGCTATGAAATGTTAGTCTGAAAAGAGATTGGGAAAATGAATTGAGTTATCCTGTTGGAAGTCTTTAAATACAGGAAATATGGGCATTCAGGCCCACTTTGACCTTGTTCAACCAACAGATGTCTAGGATTTAAAAAAGCCTGAGAAGAGGCCAGACTCTATGCTTCTAGGTGATCCTAATGGATAAACTTTAGAGAATCTATGAGTACTGGTCGCTTTGGTTATCAAAAACTCTGGAATGAAATTGTAAGATACTTGAGGTATAGCTTCCTTCTTGACTTACTATTGAGGAGACATTGGTCTTGATAAAGCTGTGGTGAGATGGCTATTGAAATTCTTGGTACAATTAATTTGATAATCTCGAGACTGACTGTCTAGGTCTTTTGATTTTCTTTGTTCTATTTGCTGTTTGCTTTCAGCCTATTTTCAAAACTCATTAATGTCTTTAGCAGACAATAACTTTTCCATTGTTAAATGGTCTCTAAAACCTTTTATAATTTATATAAGTTAATTGTACATATTACCCCTGTTCCCATTTCTGTAGATAATAAGAGTTGGTTATTATCTGTAGATCATAGAGTTAGAAGAAAATGAATACACAGACTGTTGATTTTTGTAAATGATTTCCAAAATGCAGTTCCATCACTTGTGGGGAAAAACGAAGGCTTTCAGAAATCATTTTAGAAGGCAGATATTTAGTGACATAATTTACGAAACTGCAGGTTATGATGATGACTGCAGTACTCTGTAATTTCAGAATCACCAGAAGCATTATAAAAACCAGATGCTGTTGTGAACTTTGTCTTATGTCGTTATTGAATTTTCCCCTTTAGCACCTTAACAATTGGATTAATATACCACGAGAGGTTATAGTCAAGAATATTTTAAGGCATTATAGAATATTTACTCTCAGATTGTGAAGGACCAGAAAATCAAAATCGCATCTTTCTGAACTTGTATGTCAGAATATACTTAGAAGAAGTACACCAGTGTGTTTTCTTTGTTGCTATATGTAGTGAAATGATGCTTCTAATTTTTTTTTTTTTAAGAAAAAATAGTTCTCTTTGGGCCATAGTGATTTGCCGTGTTTTACAATGAGTATAAGTTGAATTCTGTGGTGAATTGTGAAACATTTCAAATTTGAGATGGATATTCTGAGCTTCTGTTAATAGGTGCATACAAATTTACTGTTACATTTCTTGTTAATTTGAATCGTTAGTCTTTATGAAATGTTCCTCTTTATTTTTACTAATACCTCTTGCCCTAAAGTCTAGTTTGATATTAGTCTGCCTATAGTAAGTTTCTTTTGGTTAGCGTTTGCATGGTGATTCTTTTTCTGTCCTTTACTTTCTACATTGTGTGGGCCTTTATATTTTAGATTTGTCTTTGTAAGCATATGGTTCTATTCTTATTTATCTGGTATGATAATTGCTTTTTAACTGGAAGATTTCATTCATTACATTTACCTTACCCTATTATTATTTAAGTCTCTTTACTCCTTCCTACTGTGCCTTCATTGTCAAGTATTTTAATTCCACACATATTTTAAGCCCCATAAACCATTATTATTATTGTTTGAAACATCAGTTTGTATTTAGACTTACCCAAATACTTATTCTTTCTGATGTTCTTACTTCTTGTATCTTTTTTTCATGTGCTCAGAGAATTTCCTTTTAGTTCAGATTTACTAGTGAAAAACTCTGTTTTGACTTTTCTGAAAACCTCCTTATTTCATCTTCATTTTTGAAGGATGTCTTGGCAGTGTTTCTCTTCTCATTTCAAAGACGTTTCTATTGTGCTCTAGTTCCCATTGTTTCTGTTCAAGTCAGCTGACAGTTCTCTTGCTCCTTTGAAGGTAATTTGTGGTTTTTAAGATTTTTCTTATCTTTAGTTCTTAGCAAAACCATGAGGATGTTTTCTGTGGCAGGCAGATGTGGTAAGGACAGATTACCTTGATCTGAACTAGCCTGGCTTTTAGACTTTGGGCTATACTATTTCTTTTTTGCCCTTTGTCCTGGGGTATAGCCATGACTCAGAGGGCATAGCCTTTCTGAGGGTCTCAGCTTAAAGATGGGGGTATTTACCAGAGCCCTTTCACCTTGGCAGGTTCTGAACTTTGTAGCGCTGTGAGACTGCCAGGATCTCTACTCAGCTCTGTAGCTTCCCGGTTATTGCCTCTTGCTTGTTTTTACTTACTTTGCCTTGTGTGAGCTGAGTTTAGGAGTTGGAACATGGGGAAATTGTATGAAGAATTTCAGATTCAGTTTTTGCTGGTTTTCTTCTCTCCAGGATCTTGGACTGACATGTTTAGGCCTAAGGCTGCTACTTTCTGTCTTTGCAAATCAGCAGATGCTTTGAGGGAAAAGTGGAGGTTAATATGGGGCTTGCCTCAGGGCATTTCCATTTTCTCCTTTAGCACCTCAAGTCCTGGCTGCCTTGGTTGCTCTCTGGTGCCTTCAGTTTTTTTTATTGTGAGGAAGATTAGCCCTGAGCTAACATCTGTCACCAGTCCTCCTCTTTTTGCTGAGGAAGACTGGCCCTGGACTAACATTCGTGCCCATCTTCCTCCACTTTCTATAGGACGCTGTCACAGCATGGCTTGACAAGTGGTGTGTCAGTGCGCGCTCGAGATCCGAACCCTGGGCCGCCTCAGCGGAGCGTGTGCACTTAACCGCTGTGCCACCGGGCCAGCCCCCAGTTTTTTAATACATAATCCAGCTTTTATAGTTAATGCTCTAGGCTAAAGGATTAATCTGATATAAACAGCTCCTTGATGGCAGGAACAATAACTTTTTAACCTAATAATTTTAGCAGCCAGTGATGATTATTGCCTAGATCCATTATTTCATTAGGATTTGCAAAATTGTTGTATTCTGATTCTATTATTTCTTAACTGGAATACTTCTATATCAAGAAGCTTTCCCAACTGCTTGATTATCTGAGGTACTCTTCTTACAAGAAGGTCACAATACCAGAATACATGGTTCATTCTCTTTATTGACCAGTTTTTAGACTAATGAGTTGCTTCCTTGGCATTTTCCAAATGTGAGCAGTGTTTTTTTTATTAAAACAAACTCAGACTTAATGACATTTAATAAATAATAATTTAATGATATTAACTCATACATTTAAACATACTATCTTGTTTACCCTTCAGTCAATAGAAATTATTACTATATTTTTAATACTCAAATTTTCTTGCATCATCCCAAACCTTGGGTATTAGGACGTTCTTCAGGTTGTTACCTGCATCCTTTAGACACATCCCAGGAGTCTTTGGCTTTCTTGCTTTCTCATCTTCTAGGTTCATCTTATGTTTCTATCCCATGTAAAATCCTTTTAGCAGAATATTGTATTTAGAAACCATAGTCTAGGTGCTAATGGGATGGTCATTATGTTCAGGCTTTTCAGTGGACAGATTTTTCTTTTTTTAAAGAGAAGACACATCATGAGTTTATGCTGATATTTACAAATCAAATTTAAGATTATAGCCTTTAACTTAGTCTCTTTTGATTTTTATATATGTATTTTTTTCTTATGCCAAACAGTTTCATTCCTAATGTCTTTTACTTCTTTGTTCCATTTATCGGTTTATCTAAAATAGTTTCAGGTTGCTATCAATATTATTGGTAACAATATGATTACTTATGAAGGTTTAAGATTCCTTTGCATTTCTTTTCTTCCTTAGATATCCTGATAAGAATGTAACAGATTCCTTTGAAATTCTTGTCATTAAGCTATCAACTTGAAATACCTTTAGGCTCATTTGTTTCATTTTTCTTTCTAAAAAAATTAAATTTATTTCTTTCCATATGTTCCCCTATGTTCCCCTATGGTTAAGCAATTTAGTTTTTGGTTCGTCTGCCTCTGTTTATATTTTAAAAAAAGACACACACACAGGGATGCCGATGTGTGTGAACGTATGCATATAATATAGGTAATGTATTTGTGTATCTATACATAATATAGATAAATGGTACCACGTTCTATGTACTGTTCTGCTCTTTGCTTCTTTCACTTAATATGTCATAGAGATCACTCTACGGCAGTATATGGATAGATTCTTCATTCCTTTTGTACAGTTGCATGATACTTAATTGTATGGATGTACAGTAGTTCATTCCATAAGTTCCTTACTGATGGACATATGATTTAATAATTTTTTTATTATTATTATTATTTATTTATTTTTTCCCCCAAAGCCCCAGTAGATAGTTGCATGTCATAGCTGCACATCCTTCTAGTTGCTGTATGTGGGACACGGCCTCAGCATGGCCGGAGAAGCGGTGCGTCGGTGCGCGCCCGGGATCCGAACCCGGGCCGCCAGCAGCGGAGTGCGCGCACTTAACCGCTAAGCCACGGGGCCGGCCCTGGACATATGATTAGATGTTCATCTTTTTTGGCTTTATAAATAATGCCATATCTTTCTGTTTTTTTATCAGTATTTTTTGGAACAGAATCCTAAAAGTAGGTTTATTAGTTCAAGGAGTAAATGTATGTGTATGTCTCTCCACCCTTTTATTATGACATTTCAAACATGCAGCACAATTGAATTTTACAGTGAATACCTTATACCTATCACCTAGATGATACCTAATAGTAGCATCCATTTACTGTCCATTTATCCATCCCTCTAAGTATACGTTAACCCATCTTATTTTTGATGCATTTCAAAGTAAATTGCAGACGTTTGTATACTTCTTCTAAATACTTCAGTATACATATCACTAATTAGAATTCAGTATTTGTATAGAGATTTTCTTTCTTGATTTTTTTTACTTACAATGAAATGAACAAATTAAGAGAGCATTTGCTGGGTTTTTTGATAAATGTGTATATCCATGTAACCCAAACCCCTTATTAAGATGTGGCACATTATCAGCCCAGCAAGTTACCTCATGCCCACCAGTTGACCCTTGACCCAGAGGCAGCCACTGTTTATATTTTTGATATACAGTCTATAAGGGATTTTGAATGTATTTTAGTCATGTGTTGAATTCATTTCCTAAGAGACAATAGAGAAGTTTTCTTTTGGGGTATGTATGTGTATGTGAGAAATTCGTTCAAGAGGCATGCCACTTGTTAACGTTTGTTTTCTTTTTCTTTGTCTGGATTTCAAAGTTACCAACGTGGCATATTTTTAACATTTTTCCTCCTCTTATTTCCATAAGCACCCCTGCTACTTTGGAACAGAACTACATAGTTTGTGAGCTGCAGCAAAAAATAAGTGTGCTATATTCCTTTCTGAGAAGCCACCTGAAGAAGAAAAGTATTGTATTTTTCTCCAGTTGTAAAGAGGTATCGAATGTTTATTTTTCTTAAGTTGTTCATGTTGAGTCATCCCTTTTAAAATACCAAGTTTCAGTTAGGTAACAATTCTTCTTTTCTGGTAAATACAGTGCTAGATGTGGTGAGGGATCTGGAGATAATGAGAATCCTGTCTCTTTGTTTTAAAGGAGCCTGTGGATGAGATTTTAAGCTTAAGAAGGGAAAAATCTGTCAGGTTTTGCTTTGGTATTGTTAGCATCTAGCATAATACTTAGAGCATAGTAGCCCTCAGATATTGATAGAATGAGCAATTGAATGGCTAGTCTAAACCAATAATCTGACACTCACGTACCCTCCATGATACTGAACCAAACATGCCATTTATTTCCATGCCTCTAATCTTTGTTCATGCTGATCTCCTGAATGCCCTCCCTGTGTCCCTTCACCCTAATTCTCGGGGAATATTTAGTGTAGTTTCAGGCTAAGCTCCGATGTTACACTTGGAAGTCCTTTTCTTACACTCCCCAATCTCCTTGTTAAAATCAACTGCTCCCTCGCCATCCTTCTGTAGTGTTTATATCTTTAATTTATTTAGTTTATAACCTTTCTTCAGCACTAGCCATGTGTTACAAATAAGGGATTCAGAGACTTGGTCTCTTCCCTTAAAAAGAAGGGACTGTGGTTGATTTTGTGTCAGTTTTCCTCTACTGTATTTCAGATTGCCTGATGACATATAGTTGTTGGCATATAGTAGGTAGATTCTAGATGTATAGCTTTGGAATAGTGTAGCGTGATAAATATGCAGGTAAGTTTCCCTCCAGCTTATGGGTAAGATAAGTAGTGGTCTGTGTATTGTTGGGGGAAAGCACAGGACCCCATCATTTTAGCATGGAAAGAATGACTTCAGATTTTTTTTTTGGACCTATTTTAGATTTTTAGAACTTTACATCTCCTAAAGAAAGGATGTTTTTGGTATCTACGTACAAGGAAATAAGTTTGAGTGTATGTTTAAAGTTTTTATTCTATAATATTCTGGTTTCTCTCTTGTCACAGTGGACAGTGTCCTTGCTTGTATCTATGACCAGCCCTTCTATATGTGCTCCAGATCCTGTCCTCTCACCTGCATGAGGCATTTGTTACTACAAATATCCCCTCTCCTGTTTTCTTTTCTCATTATTCCTGAATATTGCCCATATTAAGAATAAAAAACAAATCTCATATTCCTTTCCAGTCCTTCTCTTCTCTGCTTTTCTTCATAGCAGACTCTTAAAGATTTATCTCTACTAGCTGAATCACTGCATCTCCTCTTCTGTCCTCAGTCCTCCACTGAGTCAGCCCTTGTTAAGAGTTACAGTTTGCCAGGGTCAGTGGTCAGTCATTAGTCCTTATCTTAGTTAACCTCTCAGAAGCGTTAACACAGTTGACCATTCCCTCCTTCTTGAAACACTTCTTTAGGCTTCTGTGACTCCCCACTCACCTGTTTCTTCTCTTGCTTTCTGACTGTTCTGTTAACCTCCTTTGCTGGTTCTTCTCTGCCTGACCATTACAATTTGGAGTACAAAAGAAAGGCATGAGTTCATCTATCCCTAATCTTGTTGGTGCATGGTCTCAGGATTAGAGAAGCTTCCTGGCACCAGGGTATTGCTGTTCAGAAAGTGAATGACTCTGAGAACTGGGTAACAAGTCATTTTGCAATTCGGGTAGTTTCTCATTCTTTATTTTCGACAAAATTTGAAGGGAAACTTAATAGAGTTATTAGTTGATAGATAAAATTATTTGTAATCTATCATGGTTTTGAAACATTTTATAGGAGTTCAAAGAGTTAATGTTCATTCTAGTCCATTTTCTGTATTTTCCTGAAGAGATTTTCTTAACACCTATATTAGAAAGAGAAAATAGGAATAAAATGATGCTGTACTCTTCCTTAGTCTAGCAATCAGCAGTATTCATTTATGAATAATAAAACTAAAATAACAAAATAACAGTCGGCTCTGTCTAGTCCATATATTGAGATGTATTTACAATAAAATTATTTTTTATGTCTAACAGCTTTTTTAATCAAATTCTAACATTTTTTTGTTTGGTTAGTTCTATATTAATAATTGTAATAAAGCTCAGTCTGAGAAGAAAATTTTTAATGCAGCTTTATGACCACAGGAAATTTAAAAAAGTTAAAACTGATATACATAGTTTTGTTGTAGAAAATCATGAATTGTGATAAAATAATCAATAAAAGCATATTCAAGCATAAAACTATTAAGATAAAGTTCTGTGGGGTCAGGAAATAGAGAAGAGTTCAAAGAGGAAAAGAAATGATGCAAAATTTCTTTGTGTTAAAGAGTTTCTTCACATTTTGTTAATCTTTTTTTGAACTGTACTTTTTAAGAGCAGTTTTAGGAGCAGCAAAATTGAGGAGCCCTCTTCCACACATGCATAGCCTCCCTCATTATTTTTACCTATTTTTAAAACAATTAGTGGTGGGTATCAAATGGCTGTGCTATGTAAATGCTATTGGATACACTTATAAAAGGTTTTAAGTATTTACTTTAAAATATCAATATTTAATATATCCTCAAAATTACATTATTTGCAATCACTTAAATTTGGAAAAATGTCAGATACTAACTTAAAAATGTAAGGGGAACATGGGGGCTGGCCCGATGGCGTAGTCGTTAAGTTCGCACACTCTGCTTCAGCGGTCCAGAGTTCTCAGATTTGGATCCTGGGCATGGACCTGTGCACTGCTCATCAAGCCATGCTGTGGTGGCATCCTGTGTACGAAATAGAGGAAGATGGGCACAGATGTTAGCTCAGGGCTAATCTTCCTCAGCAAAAATGAGGAAGATTGGCAAGGGATGTTAGCTCAGGGCTGATCTTCCTCACTGAAAAAAAAAAAAATGTAGGGGGAACATATTTTTTTCAAAATTCTTTTAGGAAATAATGTGAGCAAAAATGTTTGAAGACCACAGCTCTTGACTACATTTCCCTTTCTGTGCTCTGGGTTTTTTTTGTGCCCAGGATCTGAACCTGTGAACCCCAGGCTGCCGAAGCAGAGCACACAAACTTAACCGCTATGCCACTGGGTTGGCCCCTCTGCTCTGTATTTTTTTAATTGGTGAAACTTGTTGCTCCTTAATACATTTTCAGTGGTCATCTGTAAGCTTACTTCTTGCTGTTATTTAGAAGTACCAAACTAATTTTTCTGTTAACGCCTAGGTTCAGTATCTGTACCGAGTGTTCTGCCGGCTACGTCCTGGTGTTTCTATACTTTCCCTCCATGGTCGACAGCCCCAGATGAGAAGAATGGAAGTCTATAATGAATTTGTCCGTAAGAGAGCTGCAGTACTCTTTGCTACTGATATTGCAGCCAGGGGCCTGGGTAAGAAAAGTTTTGAGAAAATATTCTGTGATCGTGGGAAATACAACTTCCTTATAAATGGGTATATTTTGGGAATTCAAATAGTTTGACTCAAATAATTAGGCTTTCTTTTCTTATAAGAGAAAAATAAGTAAATTGATAACTGAGATGAGTAACATTAAGGATATGTCAGTGAAATTTTTCATCTTTTGTGCTCTTATTGTTTCATGATGATAATTACATCATAGGATCCTGAGGAGCCTGCAAAATCAAAGGAGGATTAAAAGTTTAAAGATATGGACAAAAAAAAGCCCTGTTTCTTTGCAAATTGGAAACTTGTTGAGTATTATAACTTATTTAGCAAGAAAAATTGGTGAAGTCCATCTTTTCACCAAACATTCTAATTTTTACTTTAATGTATTTAAACTTTCCAAAATCCACTGTGATAATATTATACAACTGGTGGCTTTGTGGGTGTGGGATGGTGTATGGAAGTAATAATAGGAAAACTAATTTAGAGATAAGAACAAAGGATGAGAATAAGTAGATGGTAATTTGAACTTTTCAGTCACTTTATTTCATTGTGTTAATTATTATGGCAAATTTTACACACACACAAAGAGAATAAGTTTAATGTACCCTCATCTCACCTCGTTTCAGCAATTATTTTTTTTGTAATCCCCCTTTTCTTCCTGTCTCCTTGTCCCTCTTGTAGTATTTTAGAGCATTTCTCAGACATCATATCAGTTCATTCCATGTGACTGGAGGCAGTAGCCCCAAGTGTGAAAGTATTTTTAAAGCTCTCTAGGCTATTTTCTTAGCCCCACAACAACTCATCCCACCCACCCTTCCCCGCCACCTCTCATGACTCTTTGAAGATATAGTTTTGAAACATTTTCATTGTGTTTGTATCTATTTATATCACACTAATTCCATCCCCCCCCTGATTTGGGAACCTAAAATAGTTCAGGTCAACATAAGCAGTTAATTATATTGTGTATATATATATTTACATATATAAAATGTGTCATACATCGCAATGAACAGATATTACTCCTGTCATATTTTCCTTGAATTTTGTTAAACCAAATATTTAGGAGATACAGTTGAGATCTTTTTTATACTCTTTCCCTGTCCCATTTTTTGTTCCTCTAACCCTCTCCCTAGACATAGTTACTGTCATATATTTGGTATGTAACCTTTTAGTTGAAGGCTCTTCACCGCTGGTCCAGTCTATGATAGAATTCAGGGAATCTGTGAACTTAGATGTGGGAAAAAACTAAATATATTTGCTAACCTTTAACTGAAATTTAGCATTTCCTTCAATTATGAATGTAAGCAATGGGCTATGTGGTATTATAGTACCTATGATTTTGTCACTAGTTGAAATTATAGGTATTTTCATTTTACATTACAGTTTTTGCAGATATCTTGGAATGTTGTTTATGCTCAGTACTAGCTTGATGTTATGGTGGTTATTAGACCCACAACTAGGTCATGTTATTTAATTTGTTGGAAACAAGCATATACATTACTGTATCAGAAATTCAATAAAATGTTTATATTTTATTATAATTTCTTTTGTAATCCTATGTTTTACTTTATGCATTTAAAAACATTCTGAGAAGGGGTTCATAGGCTTCAACTATGGCACAAAAAATGTCAAGACCTCTGTTCTAGCTTATTAAAAATTTTATATGAATGTATTTATGAGCAATATATAGTATTATCTTGGGTGTTTAAAAAGTTTACATAAATGATACCATACATGGTAGTCTATAACTTGCTTTTTGAGTCTTAACATGTTGATGTATAAAGATCCAATGTACTTATGTAGAGTATCTCATAGTATGAATTTATTTATCCATTCCTGGAATAATGGACATTGAAGTTGTTTCAGTCTTTTTATTTCAAAAATGTACAATGAATAATGAATATCCTGAAGCTCTATTCTTATGTAAATGTCCAAGAATTTCTTTGGAATACACTAGTATTTTTTTAAAACTTTATTCTTTATTTTCTCAATTATTTTATTTTTAAAAGAATAATACATGCACATGGGTAAAAATGTGTAATAGTGAGACATAGCAGGCCCTGCTCTACCCCTTCTCACTCTCCAGAGACAACTACTTAAAACTTATTTCTTCTTTTGGTATTTAACTTTATATTTCTTAGTAATATTTTATACTACAATTTCTTAATTTGTCAAGTATAGAAATTATCCAAAGATTTCCTATTGTTACCTCTCTGTCATTCCTCTTCTACTACCCCCATCTATCATGACTTTTGGTAAAATTAACATTTAGTATTTACATTGTTTTGACTATATAATTGCTGAGGGAAGTAGTATACTAAGATTGTCTCTTGTACTTTCTTTTGTGTTTTTCTTTGAGTTAATAATTGAGTTAAAATTTGCCTAGTTTTCTGTGTTCCTAGTTCTGAGTTTTCTCATTTCTGGCACGTGTCGCACGCCTGGTTTCCTAACATTCAGTATTTACATTACTTTAACTGTGTAGTTATTGTTTGCTGCTGAGGCAATTTGTATACTTAGATTGTTTCCTTTTTCTTGCCTTTTTAAATAACATTTGCCCCTTTCCCCCCGTTATTTTCTCTTTAGAGAAGAATATTTGACGTCTTTAATCCTCTAATGTTCTTGTTTCTTCTGTTGCCCATGTCATTATTTTTTTCTTGCCCTTCATGGGGGAGTTCCTTGATTTTATATTTCAACTTTCTTATTACAATTTTAATCAAGTGCTAAGAGCTCCTCTTTTATAACCTCTTATTCTTGTTTGGATACAGTGTTATCTCTCCGAAAACATTAAGTTTTGTAAAGTTCTCTTTATACTTTCTGTTTATGCTGAGTTCCATTTTTGCTCTTTGGTCTCTTTCATTTTTGAGATTTTCCCAATCGTCTGCAGTTGGATGTCTTTTTATACTTAACATTGAAGCACCACAAAGCTTATTTTAAGTGACTTGTACGTGGATGAGGCTTGTTGACTAGGCCTTTGTTGTGAGAGGATTTGGACAGAGTTGATCATTTTGTGAAGGACCCAAAATGTCAGTCTATTCTTTTTGAACATTCAGTCTCTGCAGAGAAGAATACTTGAATCTCTTGAGCAGAGGGATTAAGCTTGCTCCTGGCTTTCTGGAAGCCTAACAAGGAAGTATGCACAGAGGCCTCCCAGTCAGCCTTCAGACTTTCACTCAGGGCCCCTGTTTTCCCTCTGGCTCTGGTGCCCCTGCCTTCCACTCTATGCAGTGTCTTGGTTTGAAGCCTTTCTCCAGTAAAAGACTTTTGATTTCCTTCCAGAGCCCCAAATGTACAGGATAAGGGAGGGAAGCTGCGGGTCTCAGTGCTGCTTTCAACCCATCTTCCTGTTCATAGCTCTGAAACATGCCCTTGCCTTCCGAGGTCCTGGTTACTTCGAGTCCCAAAAGAGAGAATTGTTCTAGATATCTCTGTTCTGTTTTTCTTGGTTCTTCTTCCCCATTTAAATGGATTCAACTCTTTTGAGTAGCTTGTATGACTTAGTCAAAGTTTTGATGCTCATAGGTAGTCAGAGGTATTAATATCTTTCAATACCTTTTTCTTTCTTTCTTTTTAGTGCTCAGCCCTTTTCTCTCTGATAGAAATTGATTTGAAATCCTCACAGCAAGGTTTATAAATGACTAAAGGTAGTTCTCTTAAGGAGTTGAGAGCAGGATCTCTGGAAATGAATGGAAACTTCTGTAGCCAGAAGTATATAGAGAGTAATTATTGCTAGGAAATGGGTAGAGGGACTTAGAAAGACATCATTAATTTGAATGGAAATAGGAATAACAGGAAAAGTAAACCTTCATTTAAATTTAGAAACCAGTTCTATAGTTCACTAGGAGCCCATGAGAAGTAGTACTTTTAGGCTATTAAATATCAGGGTATTTCATTATTTGTTTGACACAAAACAATCTGTCTCTTCTGTGTCAGATATGAAATAATCTTCACATTCAAACGCTTTTTAGTGCACTTTGTCAAAGAAGAGAAGTGTTATCTCTTGGTTCATACAGTTTTATTTTTAATAGAGTTCACAGATGATACCTATCAGTTTGATGTGATGGAAAGTTGTGGCAAACAGTGTTGTGAAATAAAGATAGTGCAGCAGCACAGATCTTGAAACTGATTTCTTAGCTTGACATTCCTTCTTTCCAGATTTCCCGGCTGTGAATTGGGTTCTTCAGTTTGATTGTCCAGAGGATGCCAACACGTATATTCACAGAGCAGGTAGAACTGCCAGGTAGGTGTGTTGGCCCATATCTTTGCTTTTGTTGCTATTTAAATAAAAAAGTATGCTTTCCGAACTGCAGACAAACAAATGGAGGATTTCAGGTGAGTGCTGATTTGGTATTTTTGTGGTGTAGGTCGATAGCAACTGATCAGCTGTTGTAAGTCATGTGACTAAGACTTGATGGATTAGTGCTGAGAAAAATCCATGAAAATTTTTAGTTTTTTGTTCTAACTTTCTTCCCTTACTAACCTTTTCAGCAGCACTGCTCACCGAGCCCGTCTCACTGAATCCAACTGACTCCTCAGTGAGGTATAGGATTATTATTTAATCCCTATTTTCAGATGAGAAAACTGAGTCTTTGAGCAGTTAAACAACTTGTTTGAAGATCCAGAGAGCCAGGATTTGAACTGAGGCTGTTTGACTCCTCTAGTCTAGATCTGTTCTCTTACTTCCTGTGGTACAGGCTCCAATAAGAGGCAGCAGGGTGGTTTTGAGTCATAGATTTATAAATTTCTCTCTTTTCGTTTTTTTCTAGTGTGAGAATTAGAGGCATTGCTGGAGGCCACTCGCAAGTACTCCCTTTTCTGTGTCCCCACTGCCTCGCCCAATAAAAGCACCCTATATTTGCTAATGAGCTATGGGGAAACTATCTGGAAAAGAATAGAGCAGAGTCGTAATTATTTGGGAATAAAAGGCATGGAAAGGTATTTGAATGAAAAGGATAATATGCTTTGTCATTGCTTTTGAGGTTGCAGTGAAGTTGCGAGATATGTGTTGCTGATGGAAGTGTAAATGGTTAGCATCTTTCTGGATACCATTTGGTAATACTATCAGAAGCCTTAGTGTTCTTCCTTTTGCCTCAGTAATTCCACATCCAAAAATTGACTTTAAGAAAATAGAGAGATGGATAAAGTTTCAGTAAAGATGTTCATCTTACTGATACTCGTAATGGTTAAGAATTGGAAACAACCTAAATAGTCACAATAGGGTTATGATTAACTATGATTAGTCACAGATGGACTATTTCTTTGGATTTACATTTTTTTCTCATCAAAACTAGATAACCATAATATGGATGTCAATGAGACATTTATGCTTAATGATGGAAGAGACACCAACTGTTGGTCTCACTGGACTAACAGTTACTTCTGATTTTAAGTCACCAATTTTTGTTTGATTTCCAAGGGATGGCAGGATTTTTAGTCCCAAGACTTAAATCCTCATCCATGCAAAGACTGTCCTTCTCCAGCAGGCTTGTTCTACCACTTACCCTGCATCTCTTTCAGCAGATGGCCCCAGGTATGAAAGTGTCCTCTATCCCTGGCTTATCTAGGAAGTCCCTTTAGTGTTTAGTTTTTTTAAGTTTCTTTGTTTCCACAGTTCTCAGTTGGATTTAAATAATTTTTTTTTATTTTGGTGAATTTTGTTGTTTGTTTCAGCTGAAGTGAAAGTTTTTCATGTCCTTTTACAGCCTAAAAAGAAGTAGAGCTCTTCCTGCTTATTTGCTAATTTTCACAAAATGTTTGAATGTTTAAATATTTTTTTGTTGATTCAGTTTTACCCTGTGGGCTGTTAATTATGGGCTATAATCAAAATGTACTCACTTAAATTAAATGTATTTCTTTTGACCAGCATGAAGGGAGAGAATAGTATAATAGTGCAAGATGAAACTATTTTAAAATAGGATTTATGTACTAGGGGGTTCAAAAGTAAGTCTTTTTATTGCAATAAACTATATGATTTGAACAATCAGTAGAGTTAGAACTGGGTTCTGTGTATGATGATGTGCATTCAGACAAACTTGCCTTTAGAATGGTAACATTTTGATTTCAAATGTTAAGTAAATGAGACCTGGGTAGAAAGCAGCCTTGTTTTCTATTTTAAAAGTAGGTGCATGGTGCATCATGTCTTTTACGTGTTGTGTACATGTTCGGATTATCTTTCATAGTGAAATATTCAGAGAAGTCATTAGTTATGGTTGGTGGAATGAATGTTTCTCCACTGTTTAATTCTCTTTGGTAAATGTGTAGTATGTGTGAATTGCTACATGTACCCATGCACATATTTGCATTTTGTGGTCCTGTGGGTCTCTAGAGAGATAAGGTTGCATCTAGTCTCTCACTAACATATTGGATCAGGGACATACAGGCTTTTTAGATGTGCCATTGGTGTTGACATGGATAGGGCAAACTAATTCTTTTATAGAATACATTTAGCAGTATTTTAAAATTATTCTTCCTGTATGAAGATTATTGGACATCTCTGCATCAGGAAAAAGTCCATGAAGGGGAAATATTTCGGGGTTGACTGTCCCCAGAGAAGTTGTTAAAAATCTTATGTAGTTGAACATGCCATGGTGAACATTAAAATGATCTTAGTGACTGTGGAGATGAAGAGATAGAACAACATCAAAGTTGATTGTATTTGAAGAAAGAGAATACAAATTTTAAAAACTATTGTAGGGGTTGGCCCGGTGGTGTAGTGGTTAAGTTGGCGTGCTCCTCTTCAGCAGCCCGGGGTTAGTGCTTTTGGATTCTGAGCACAGTCCTACACACAGCTCATCAAGCTGTGGCAGCATCCCACATAAAAAAATAGAGGAAGATTGGCACAGATGTTAGCTCAGGGACAATCTTCAAGCAAAAAGAGAAAGATTGGCAACGGATGTTAGCTCAGGGCCAATTTTCCTCACCAAAAAAAAATAAACAAAACAAACTGTTGTAATGTAATTTCTAATGTGGTCATTAATTTTTAAAGTACAAGCTTGTTTGACCATAACCAATTAAAAATATTTTGAATTGACTATTTTAGTTGTATGATCAGTGGAAAGGTTTAGGGTATGTAATGCTTATTTTTTCTTTGGCTGTTTAATAAAAAATAACCAAAATGCAGTTTAAAAGTTGCCATTAATGGGCAACTTTTTTTTATCTTAGAGATAGAAAGTTTCGTGGGCCATGAGACTGGATAATTGAATTGAATAGAGGCTAAATTAAAATTTGAAACTAATTAAAGTCCTATGTGTATTCTGTAATTAAAACCAGGTTGCCAGATAGTGTTTGCTTTTGGATTTATAATGTATGAATATAGAGAAATGAATTCAGTGCTTTGTGGCAAAATGGCTAAGGTTTGGGGAATCTTTTTTGTTTTTTTTCTTTTCTGTGTTTTAGCTAAGTAAAAATAAAGGCCGATTCAGCTGCTTGTTGCCTTTAAGTACTTATTCTGTTCTAATTTATTCACCTGTCTAAAATTCTTTTGATCGCTAGCAATTGAGAAAAATTCCCCCCTGTTTTCCTTAACCATCCATACCCCTTTTGACAAAATAACCTCCTTTAGAGACAAATGAGGCAAAGGATATGAATATAGTTTTATAAAGTGGTGTCTTGTGATATATTCCATCACTTAAAAGTGATCATCTTTGGGGCTTGCTGTGTTTGGTTCTCACAAAACCAAGCTCTCCCATTTCTTATAAAAATGCCCCGTTGAAAATAAATATTTAGGAAGTACACATCAGATATTCGTAAGTTTTTAAATGCTTTTATTTGGGGAGGGCGTGTCTGTGAGTGGAAAATGGGAGTTTATATATAACTGTTTATATATAAACAGTTGGGAGTGTATATATAAAAGATGGGAGTGCATATGTAAGAGATGGGAATATATATATATATATATGAGGGGAATATATATACATATACATACACACATCGTTTTGTTTTCCAGAGTAGTGGTAAAATAATAATAATTTTAGCAATATTCCAGCTGAGCCTTATTTGCCTGGCTGCATTTCATGGATCTTAGCTTTTGAGTGATTTAGGTAGCAAAATGTGATTCCACTAGGGGACAGCAGAGGCCAGTTCTTTGCATTGCATACTCAGTGGCAGCGGTTGAGATCAACAGCAAATATAAAGATGGAAAGTAGTTAACATTTCTAATGTGATAACTTGTGAAGAGCTCATGGTTTGTGGAAAACACTGGCAGTTTATGGAATAGATAATGAGAATTTTTTTGTTTTGTTTTGGTGAGGAAGATTAGCCCTGAGCTAACATCTGTTGCCAATCCTCCTCCTTTTTGCTGAGGAAGATTGGCCCTGAGCTAGCACCTATGCCCATCTTCCTCTATTTTATGTGGGACACCTGCCACAGCATGGCCTGATAAGCTGTGTGCAGGACTGTGCCCAGGATCCAAACCCGTGAACCCCTGGCCGCCGAAGCTGAGTGTGTGAACTTAACCACTATGCCACTGGGCTGGCCCCAAGATAATGAGAATTTTTTTAAGTGTCTTTAGTTGGTTTGTAAATTGAAGTGAAAAGACAGTTTCCATGAGCGTTAATTTACTGTGTATATCTTTATATATAAGATAGAAGTAATTTTTGCTAGTGAAAATTATTGCTTTTTTCATCTTTAGCTCAGACTTAAGATCCTGTCTTCAGTCCAGTCCTCCTGGATAGAGGCTGGTGCCTCCTTACATGGCCTTCTGCCTTTGTCTGTTGGTATCTAGAATTTAAAACTTTAAGAAAAGGGCAAAGCCAATCCTGTATTTTGTATCAAGAAGCATTGAGCTGGGGTAGCATATGACCTGTGTAGCTATAGAGGTAGATAAGGGGACTGATATTTCTTTTTTTTTTTTTTTTTTTTAAAGATTTTGTTTATTCATTTTTTTCCCCCCAAAGCCCCAGCAGATAGTTGTATGTCATAGGTTCACACCCTTCTAGTTGCTGTACATGGGACTCGGCCTCACGCTGGAGGGAGAAGTGGTGCCTTGGGGCGTGCCCGGGATCCGAACCCGGGCCGCCAGCATCAGAGCGCACGCACTTAACCGCTAAGCCACGGAGCCGGCCCATGGACTGATATTTCTTGAGTCTAGTTCCCATGCACTTCCCCCTTGCTCTCCTGCTGTCTGTTATCAACACAACAGGCAGCGATCTTTCTAAAACACAAGTCGGATCATGCCACTCCTTTGATGGCTTCCCATTTCACTCAGAGTAAAAGCCAATGACCTATTGGGTTTATACTATT